TGACGGCAGGGCCAAGGTGTTCCCATTGGTCTCTAGTATCGTGGCACTTAGCTTTGGGGGATGCTCATGCTGTCTGTGGCTCCTTCTAACTTGAAAGGCAACCCCAGTGCTCTTCCTGACCCAACAAAGTCCTGTTGTTACCAGCATTTGCTGGCTTGTAGGGGAAATGCTGCCGTTCCCATTCCCCTCGAGAATTCAGAAGGGAAAAGCCTGCCCTCTGAGACCTCAACTCTAGGACCTGCCCAGACGGGAATGGAGGGCACAGCTTTTGGGATGGGCACTGTCACTGGGGCCGGCCTGGGTGGGTCCCCAGGAAGCTGTTGCCAAGTTTGCACAGGGTCCACCCTTCGTGAGGTCGAATGGCCTCAAGGGTATCCTGCAGAAACGTCACCTGCCCTCACCTACATCCTGGCCCTGGGCGTGGAGGGCCGAGGCTTGCCCCAGGTCTGGCTCCACAACCGCATGACCTGGGAGATGGCCTGGGAACTAAGGATCAGCCTCCTGCGGGAGAACCAGCTGCCCATGGCACGGCCCCCTCGAGCCCCCACACCCAGGACTGCAACCCCTGGAAGCCCTTTGTGGTGGCACCCACACCTGAGCCGCCTGGGTTTTCTCCACCATGTGAAGTGTGTAGGAGGGCTCCCGAGTCTGGACTTCGACCTGAGAACTTGGGGCCTTGGGGGAGCTAAGGAGCACCCACCGAAGTCAGGATGACACCTCGGAAGGTCTTGTCATTCTCCAGCTTCTCCAGGCTGATAATGAACTCTGTCAGCAGCTCTAGGCTGAGGCTGTTCACTGGGGGGTTCTTGAACTTCATCACGGCGACCCCTAGTTTGAAAATGAAAAGGACAAAACTCATACCCAACATTGGAAAGATATCCCCAACTACCCTGCACCCTCAACCAGGCCATGGGAAGCTACACAGATTTTGGGTTTTTTAAATTGAGGTGAGATTCATATACCTTATAAGAAAGGGAACCCTGTACCCATCAGCAGTTACCATTCTTCCTGTTCCAGCCCCTGGCAATCAGTAATCTCCTTCCTGTTCCTATGGATTTGCCAATTGTGGACATTTCATATAAGTGGAATCATATGTGACCTTTTGTGTCTGTCTTCATTTACTGTTTTCAAGGTTCATTTATGTAGTAGCATGTGTCAGTGCTTCATTCCTTCTTAAGATCAAATAACGTTCCATTAACTGTGTACAGCATGTTTTGCTTATCCATTCACCTGCTGATGGACACTTGGGTTAGTTCCACCTTTTGGCCATTGTAATACTGCTGTGAACATTAATGTACAAATTTTTGTTGATCTTCTTCTCCCAGATGTAAGTCCTACATCCTCAGGGGAGTAAGAAATGGCCTTAGTTTCTTGAGTAAGTGAGCAAACACTAAACCAGATGGGCAAGGAGGAACGCCAGTGGGGGCCGCTGGTTCATGCTTGTTTAAGGATTGAGGGTAAGAATATCAGGGGTCAGATGTTCTTAAACACTCCATCTATTCATTTATACTGCCAGCAGCAGGGAAAGCAGGAGTGGCAGGGCCTGCCCTTGTGGACAGTGCAGCTGCGGGCCTGGGCCGGCTGGGGCCATCTGTTCTCACTGCCTGGCCCAAGGGCAGACCCCAAGGGCTTTAGAAATGCCACCGTTCACTTAGGGTACATTTCCCTGGTCAAGGCCTTGGAAATCTCTGGATAGTCAACACAAACCATTCTCTAGGAATGAGAATTAAGTCCTGAAGGCAAGGAGACTCTTTTGAGACCTATGATTTATGAGGAAGAGGTAATTATTAACTGGCTACAGGTATGTACATGTAAAAATAAGAAGCAATCAAAACTTTCAGAAGTGAGCTCCCCAAACTTGTTTCAGAGGTAATTTTCTTTCTTTAAAATTTATTTTATTTTTGGCAGCATTGGGTCTTTGTTGCTGTGCGCAGGCTCTTCTCTAGTTGTGGCGAGCAGGGGCTACTCTTTGTTGCGGTGTGTGTGTGGGCTTCTCATTGCGGTGGCTTCTCTTGTTGCGGAGCATGGGCTCTAGGCACATGGGCTTCAGTAGTTGTGGCACATGGGCTCTAGAGCACAGGCTCAGAGTAGTTGTGGCACACAGGTTTAGTTGCTCCACAGCATGTGGGATCTTCCCAGACCAGGGATTGAACCCGTGTCCCCAGCATTGGCAGGCAAATGCTTAACCACTGAGTCACCAGGGAAGTCTCAAATGAAAACATTTAAAAAAGTACTTTTATTCCATTAATTCCTCCAAGCCTCAAGATGCCTGAAGATTACCCAGGTCTGGCAGTGAGGACAGAACCAAGCCTGGCTTTCTGACCTCAAACTCAACCTTCTACCACAATAAGCCGGTGAAGCTAGCGAGTTCTTCCATGGTGGGGTGGGAAAGCACTTTGGTAAAAAATTGTCTCACTGATAATTTTTTTCTTACTTGTTTACATAAAAGAAAGTCTACCATTCAAACCATTTTTAAGTGTACAACTAAGTGGTATTAGGTATATTCACTATCTTGTGCAACCACCACCACCTACTTCAATACTTTAAAAATGTGTTTTATTCAAGTTTTGATATATATTCAAATCTGTCACAGAAACGATCCTTTCAGAAACTCAGGTTTTTGTTGGACTCGTAGTTGAGCCCCTCATCACCTGGCTCGGGCAGCCCCCAACCCAGAGAGGAGCTAAACTAGAGAACTGAACCAAGGAACACGGTGGGTGCCCTGACAGCAGTCCAGGCACAGGCAGCGATGCACAACCTGTGCGTGTCTGGGGGGCTCTGGGGGGCTGAGACTGTAGCCCCATTTGGGGAGGAGCTTGGCTCCCTGCCAAGCCAGAGTGGACTGGGGATGGGAGGCATCTTGAAAGGCTGAGGCCAGGAGCTGGGAGGTCATGAGACAGCTTGTCCTAAAATCTGACACTGCACGTCTCCAATGTCAAGCCTGCTCAGGACCCAGCTCTGAAGTGCCCTCTGGTAGAGAAAGCACTGGTTTCTCTTTCAAAAGTGCTTTTTCTATCTTTTTAAAATCCCCCTTGGAGACTTTTAGGAGGTGTTCTGATGGGAGTGGGTAGGAGTGACTTCACTTGTGGCTCCTGGCTTTAATTAAAAAAATATCTGCTGGGTTCTGTGCCACTTGGGAGTATTAAGAAAAATTAAAATATTTTATTCTGAAATACTTCCAATTATTTTAGTTCCCAATTTAACAGCTAAGGAGCACATGCCCCAAACTTGAAAAACTGAAATATTTTTATCTTCATAATGAACTGGGGGGCGAAAACACCTAGACTGATGACCCTTAAGCTTTGAACTCAACAGAAACTGCCTTTAAAATTGGGCTTTATCCCGTGGCCTTTAGAAATTCGAGCGTTCTCCCGAGTCTGGATTCCAGGTCTGGGCCTGGAGCTGGAGGAGATCAAACGCACTGCCCAGTGAAGCCCGCTCTGCTGCCAGCGCCCCCCTCTTTCCCCACAGCCGGGCGCTCGGGAGACCGCGCTCCGGGCGCTTACCTGAGGCTGCGTCCGGCTCCACCAGCACCCGCTGGGTCCCGAAACGCCGCGCGCTGTCCCCGCTGCCGGCCGTCGGCTCCGTCCGCCGGATGGTCGCGCCCCGGAGCAAGGCCCCTGCGGAGGGCAGCGCGAGGCCCGTTAGCCTGCCGCGCCCCTGCCCCCCTCCCCAGGCCCCTGCCCAACCCGGCCGCCACCCCCGGTCACGCACACGGGCGGAGCAGGGCACGCAACAAGACGCTCGTTCCTGCCGCCAGCGCCATCTTGACCGCACTGGGTCGGGGTCGCGGCGCCGGGGTGTGGCCTTGCCGCCCGCCCCGCCCCCAGGGCCTAGGCCTCTCCTCCGGGAGGCGGGGGCTGCACCCGGCCAAGGCCGCGGTGGGAGGCCCGAGCGGGCGGAGCCTCGGGCTTAGCTGAGCAGGACGCTGGGGCTGCGGGGTGAAGGGTCGTCGGTAGGGAAGCCCGGACAGGCCAGACGCCGTGCTCCCCACGACCCACAGCTGCGCCACCACGCAAAGATCGAGCCGCCCAGGCCCGGAACCACACGTAAGTCACGGAGTGTGCGAGTCCCGGAGAGGGTTGTGAACTGAGTGGTAGTCAGGGACTGTGGGGACCCCGGCAGCTTGCGGCCCCGCAGAGCCGTTAGCAGAGCTGTGGGCACTGGAAAGGATGCTAGAGGGGGTGCTGATGGGGGCCAGTGTGAACTCCGCCTCCTGCCTGTGGGGGGGGACCAGGAATCTCAGCTGGTGGTTTAGCCACAGGCGTGGGGCAGCATAGCCTGGTGACTAAGAACTGACCCTTCACCTTCCCCAAGGGGTGAGGTGCCCTCACACCACTGTGGGACTGCAGCGCTCCCCACAAGGAAGGGGAAGGAGACATCTCGTGTTTGTATTTACTTGATCCTGCCTGAACACTGTTCTGACCATTCAGTTTGAACACTGGACACAGTAAGGGCCAAGGGTCAAGTACGGGGGGGGGGGGGGAACTGAGACTTGTTTTTGTAACATCTTAAGTGTTTTCAATTGTTCCTTGTGGAACAAACCAGTTTTTGAAGTGGAAAATAGTTTTTCCATGGTCACCTAAAATAGCAGCAGCAAATGAAATCCACATTTCTGGTCAGGCAGAATTCAAAGCTCCTGTAATATAAAGGTGATAAAACACCTCTTTCTGGGACTTCCCTGGTGGTCCAGTGGTTAAAGACTCAGCACTCCCAGTGCAGGGGGCGGAGGTTTGATCCCTGATTAGGGAACTAATATCCTGCATGCTGTATGGCGTGGCCAAAAAAGAAAAACAAAAAACACCTCTTTCTAAAATGTGTCTAGCCAAGGAGCAGCCCAACACTCATAAACACTTCCAGTGTTTTTCTGGTTGAGAGGTTTTGGAGCTGTGACTTTGGGAATGAAACCAAAACATTTTTTAGACAATCATGTTTAATTACCTCACAACTGAAGCTGCCTTTGGGGCCAAGGGACAGGAAGGAGGCAGCGAACCCAACACTCGAGCTGCACTCTAATCCTAGGTTTATTCAACACAATTCTTTTCTCTACACAACAAAGTACAAACACAATATTATCTAAAATGCTACAAAGTTACAAAACTAAAAACAGAAAATGTATAGTACTGACTGTACAATAAAAGCCAAAAAAGCAATGTACACGTTGCCAAAGTAACCTGCACGACCACCATGAATACCAACACAACGGGGGGTTCTGTGATGACCGGACAGAGCTGGCTCTCAACTTACCAGTTTCAGAGAGAAAGGGAGACGTGGGTTTGTCTGTGTGTGTGTGTGCACGCACATGAGTACACGTGAAAAGAACCATTTTGGGTATTTGGCCCTAGAGGTCAGAAGAGGACTCAAGCAGGGGAGCAGGGCCAGGCTAACAGGAATGGCAGCTGCGTAAAAGCACACCCTTTCCTGTGGGACCCTGCAGGCCAACAGGTTAGGGCACGACCAGCCCACCAGATGGACCCCACGTCATCTGTGGAATGGGAAAACATGCTCCCAGGCTGGGGCTGTACCACCGCCTGGAGCCCCCTGCTCATCCCTGCTGGCTTTGCCACTAAACTGACTCTCAGGAACTAGAAATGTGGAAGCTTTCTAGCCAGAAAACCGGAGGGCATCATCATAAGCACGACCCCAAACCAACAACACTCCTGCAGCCGGAACTCTGCCGCCAGGGGAAATGTAGCAATTACTGCCTTCACCTTCGAAGCCTGCCCGAGTGAGGGATTTCTTTCCTACCAATCCTCCTTCTGCTAGAAAAGTGACAAAAGTAAGTTGGATGGTATACAAGTCACAGGGCAGAGCTTCGGTGGCCCTGCTTATCGGGAGGAGTTGGAGCTGGAGCGGCTCCTGTGGCGGCGGCGGCCAGGGGAGCGGGATCGCCGGCGCACGGGGGACCTGCGCCGAGGGGAACGTGACCTGTGGGAAGAGGAGAAACCACATCAGACACGAAACCCATGCCCCAGGAGCAGCTCCGCATCTGGAATCACAGGGGTAAAGCTGCCTTCTTTCGGGAACAATTCTACACAGCTTCACACTCCAACACTCCAGTCAGGACAGCTCCCTTTGGATGTCACTGACACAGAACCCTTGGGAGACACACAAATGTTCTGGAGACCAAAGGCATGACCCCAGGCACTCTCCTCTTCTTCGAGGGCTGTGCAAAGTGCAGCTTGACACCACTAGCAGAGGATGGCCTGACACTGGCCTCTGCCAAGGGTGTTGTTAGCCTCTCCCCTACTCCTCCGACCCTTCCGGTTTTCTCATGGAGGGAGGGGAGGGGCCACACCTGCCGAGGGTCCCTCAATCAGGCAGCTCTTCCTTTCCCCAGCTGGAAAGAACACGATGAGCTCTGAAGGCTGCCTATGCCAATGCTGCTTTCCCACCCCCATCATGAGGCACAGGGGACAGGCAGGGCTGGACTAAGTCCCAAAGTCATCATCCTAACTTTATGTTTGTAAATAAGATAAACGGAAACTGTCCCTAATCAGTCCCCTGTGAGACTCCGAAGTGATTCACCTTCTCCTCATCCGTGGGGGTGACCTGCGCCACATGGGAGGTGGTGGCAGCATTCTCCTGGGAGGGCTGAATCGCCTGGGGGGTGGCCGAGGCCAGGGGGCCAGCACAGCAGTGGCAGTGATCTCCTGGCCATCGATTTGTCCTGTTGAAAAAAGGATAAAGTCACAAAATATCTAACAAGCACCTACCCTGGGCCAGGCCCAATGCCAGCTATGGGCATACCATGGTGAGTGAGACAGAGAGGAGCCTGGGGGGACAAAGACAAACTACTCTGGTCACAGAAAGAACCTCATAATTACTGTTATTGGAGGTTTCATAAAGAAAACTACCAGGAAGCAGGGAACCTAATCTTAGTGCATTGGGATAGCCTTCCACGGGAAGCACCATCCAAGTCAACACCTAAAGAACAGCCTGGAATTTGCTAAGTGAGGGGAAGAGCTATGCTCCCGCCCTGAGCTGGAAGGTGGTGTTGCACTTGAACTTCCTTCTTAAGAGCAATGTGAAGGGGGCACTGCAGTGAGGAGACCTGGCAGGGGGCTTTGGCAGGACTGAGATGGGGGTGAAACATAAGAACTCAAGGGATAACAGGGAGGTATAATCACCGGAGCTTGGTGATGGATCAGGTGAGCAAGCCCAGGGGTGGGGTGAAGGATGATCAGCACCAGGGTTTTGGATGATCTGTGATCTCCTGAGAGGTGGGGCCTGAGAGGAAGAAGGGACTTCTGGGGTGGGGAACAAAATGAAAGGATGTTCAGGAGTTGTCAAGTCTGTCTAAAGAGTTTGAAAAAAGTGCCTCAGGGAGGTGAGTCCACGTGCAGCAAGTACTAAAACCACGTGTGAATGAAATCGTAGAACGGCAAGGGGAGGCAGCTCAGAATGGAGGCACAAGGAAACTGCAGGACCTCAGGGAAAGAAAAGAGCAAAGGACACTGAGGCACAGACCCAAGAATCCCAGGGGATAAGGCACCCGGATCCAGTCCAGGGACTGCTCAGGGGACCAAGCACAGCCCATGTACCCCCAAAGGGTGGAGGGTCTTCTATCTTCTCAGCTCCTACTTTCAAGGGAACTTCTGAGGTATTAAGGTGACTCAGGAATTTGGACCTATGTTCGCAACATACTTGAAAGGCTCAATTTAAGTAAACACGGCTTAAGGTGGCCCTGGCCTATGGCCAAAAGCCAGTCCAAGTCAGGGATTTCACAGGCACTGACTATGTAACAACAGAGGCAAAGTCATCCTCTGGCTAGCTACCAGTAAAGGCAAAGCCCCCCCCCCCCCACTTTCTTTCTGGAGACAGTGTGGAGCTGTTCCATTCAGTGGTGCACAGCACAATACACACAGCAAAGTCCTACCAGAATCTTAAGAAAACGTGGAATATTTATAATCACACACATCCTGAACGTGCCCAAGTCTCCCAAATTTTTAGCAAGTACTCAGACTCTATCAAATACACAAGATCAACAGTCTCTAAAACAAAGGTGTGACTCAACAAAGCCAAGAGCTGAAGTGTGCAGAGGGATGGATCATAGTTTATGCTTAACTCATAAAACACTCCAGAGGGATTTAAGTAGATTGAAAGAGTTGTACCTCAGTACCAAGGAAAATTTTGTAGTATACAAACTCTACCAGAGCTCAAGGGCCAAAGACCTGTGAGGCTATTTATCAAATGTATAAGAGGGCCTCCAAGGATGCCAAGATTGTAAGGGGTTCAGAATCTCCTTCCCACTTGGCCTGGCAGGCCACACAGTGCTGTGGGCAGTCCCGGCTCAGCTCCAGCTGCTTAGAGTACAGCAGCAGTGAGCTGGGGCACAGACAAATCCCATTTTCCTTCAAATGCAGGAAATTGAAGCTATTCACAAGCGTTCAAAGGTTGACAAATCATTCTACCCAATAAAAAGTGGCTATGGGAAATGGGTAAAATTTGTGAATTCAGCGAAGTTATCCTAAAAATGCTGAAATGTTAGCAAAAGAGAAAATGATTCAGGACTTCCCTAGTGGCGCAGTGGTTAAGAATCCGCCTGCCAATGCAGGGGACATGGGTTTGAGCCTTGGTCCAGGAAGATCCCACATGTCGCAGAGCAACTAAGCCCATGTGCCACAACTACTGAGCCTGCGCTCTAGAGTCTGCGAGTCACCACTACTGAGCCCGTGCTCCGCAACAAGAGAAGCCAACGCAATGAGAAGCCCGTGCACAGCAACGAAGACCCAATGCAGCCAAAGAAAAAAGAGAGAGAGAGAGAGAGAGAGAGAGAGAGAGAGAATGACTCAGAGAGGATTAAAGAAAACATTTCCATATAAAAATGATGCTTCGTTATATTCATAATATACTCCTTGCGGGGGGGAACTGTTCATCTGATCCTTAAACTTTGATTGATATTCATATTTGATGAATTTTTTTTCAAGAACCATGCTCCACAAAACATGTTTTTGGTAAACACACGCCCACTGAGTAAGAACTGGAATCTTGAAAGAGCCCCAGGGAGATTCTTACATGCAGCCAGGTTGAAAGTTGGTTTTAAACACACTATGCGTGGTGGGTAGCCGGTCGTGGACAGGGGACAAAGAAACAGGGGTTCAGAGCGGAGCTGGCAGGGCTTAACTCACCTCCGTCCATGTGCTTCAGCGCCTTCTCGGCCTCATCTGGATTCTCAAACTCCACATATGCATAGCCTTTAGACAGATGGGGGTGCATCCTTTCTACAGGCATGTCAATCATTTTAATTTTCCCATAGGTGGAGAATATCTCCATGATATGATCCTAGGGAGAAAGAAGGGTCACTAATGCTCACCCACTAATCACTTGTGTAAGAGTCAGAGAACCCACTACACAATGACTACAACCTTGGCACCTGGGGGTAAATCTCCTAAACACATACGTATAATATATTCCATTAAAATGAATTAACCAGTGCTCTACTTGGTCATGCACCACCAAGTCAGCCCTCCGAAATGCTACATTCTAAGTTCACCTTCTGGCAGAGGCTTGCTTCTCCAGCTTTCCACTTTGAAAATTTGCAAAAGAGACACACCCCACTGTCCACTGGACAGAAACAGGATTCCTCACCTTGGTCACATTCCTGGTGAGCCTTCCAATGTGCACTTTGGTGGGTTTAGGGGAAGGGCTCCGCCTTTTCCTTTCCTTTTCATCTCTTTTGGGTGGTTTGGATCTGATTGAAAAAACAAAAAATCCTATTAAGACAGTAAAACTCCTTTTTTGGTCTATTTTTATAATAACTACGGTAACTTTACAGCCCCCGGTTTGTTAATTTAGGTCCCCAGGTAATTCACAGGTTTGGGGGAGAGCCCTCAAGCCAATTACTCCCGGGTGGAGAAGTGGTGCTGGAAGGGAGCTCACTTCGAGCGGGAACGCCGCCTGTTGTCATGTCTGCGCCGAGAAGGACTCGGTGAGCCAGAGGAGCTGCTGGAGCTGGAGCTGCGGGATGTGCTGGAACTTCCTGAGCGGCTTGATGCTGAAGATGAGCTGGATCCGCTGCTGGAGCCTGTGCTGGTGCTGGAGCCTGAGCTGGAGGTAGAGCTGGACCGAGACCTGAGGGGCAAGAGGGAGGGGGTCACAGACAAGTGGTGGGAGCAGCATTTCTTCACTGAACAGACAAGCCTGCACATGCTCCCAAGATGAACCGCTGGCCTCGTATTTTCAAACCCCACTGCTTTCCCCAGCGGGGCAAACACTGACCTCCTCCGATCCCTGCCCTAAGCCAAAGCCCTTGGTAGGGACAGAAAACAGCATACATGTTGTGCAGTGATAGGGAAGAAAGAATGAGCTGCTTCCAACCTACACAGAAGCCTTGCCTACTGGGAGGTAAAGGAGGAGCCTGGCAAGTCAGAGCCACCAACTCAGCTTGGAAGGCAGCTACTGACTAACATAGGCTGGTTTTCAACAGAAGGAAAAGGAAGCTCCAGGCTAGGGCAATCCAAGCACAACTCCAAATCAAAAGCACTTGACAGAAAAGCATACCCCAAGATGTCCCATTCCTTAACATCTCCAGAAAAGAAAGAATCCCAACACCATCCTCTGTATATAATCAGAGCAAACCCAACCAGTTTGCCGTAAATTAGAGTCTCTATTAAAAATCTGAGTGTGTTCCCTTATAAGAAGACAGAGCACTCTGCAGGCTCTTTGGGAAGGAAGAGGGACACGGCTATGGACGCGAGGCCCTGGCAATGCTCTAACCCGTCAGCCCCACCTGGTGCTGCTGCTACCACTGGAAGCGCTGCGTCTCTTTCGAGTTTTATCCCTGCCACGATCCTTCTCGCTTGACTCCTTGGTGGCCCCCTTATCTTTAGAGCGATCCTTGGACTTCTCATCAGAGCGGTCTTTGCGTTTGGTAGGAGAAGGAGCCCTGGATAGTGAGAAAGAGTATGAGATTACATGCCCCTTTAACTGAACCCTGAAACAACAGCACAACCCCAAAGGGCTACACAAATCCCAGGCAATCACAGGGCAAAATATCTGTGGCTTAGGACACTTTCACTGTAAAATTCAAGACATTTCCAATTTTCCCCTTTCTGAGGGTCCCTAGCAATGAGCACCCCCAAAGTAGCACTAGAAAAATCTAACAGAAGGATTACCTAGTGCTGGACTTTTTATTATTTTCTTTGACTCCTAGCAAGCTCTTCTTTTTCACTCCTGATAAATCCATTCTCCCCTTCTGAGGTGTTCAAAGCAGCAATGGCGGCCTCACTTATCTGAACTCTCACTTCTAACTTGAGTCTGAGAAACGATCCCTAATCGATTGCAATTTACGCCAAAGTGCAGCCTAATAACAAGATAAAAGGATTTACAGAGTAAATTGGCAAGGCAACATATCTACTTTGCAGTCAAAAGCTGAGCACAGGAGAAGGCAGCAAGGAACACAGTAAGCAGCAAGCATCCACAAAGCCAGGAACACACGGGGGACCAGCACTGTTTCCTCAGGGGGGGAAATCCCGCCCCCACAGGAGGCACAGGTAGAACCGTCACCTCAGCTTGTCTTTTTCTTAAGGAACGGTGTGGATGGTGGTGTCCTGTTATTTTACAGGCGGTACAATACCCGTTTTTCATTCTTAAGTTTGATGATGAGCCCTCCACAGTCCTTTAGAAATACTACAGCACCACATTTGCATGCAGAACAGAGAAAAACCCAACTGATAGGATTAGATTTCTTGTTTCATTGCTGTAATCTTTGTAGGATACATTGAATATATGATGTGACTGGAAGCAAAAACCATTTCAAAAGTGACTGGTACCGGCATCAAAACATTTAATACCCAAACACAAACAAATGAAACGTTCCCCATGAACATTTAAAAAGCAGTAAAATAAGCTGTTAAAGAGTAGTTATTGTAAACACTGACTAATGTTAATGATATGCATATGAAAGTGTTGGGGGGAAGTATACCAAAGTCTGCAACTTACTTTGAAATGCAAGAAAAAATAAGATTGATGGGTGGCTAGATATAAATAAAGCAAATGTTAACAGAAATGTATCATGTAGAATCTAGGTGGTGGTGACGTGGCTATTCACTGCACAAATTTTTTTCAGCTTTTCTGTATGTTCACATTTTTTCAAAAATAAAATGTTGGAGGGAAAAAAGTAGACATTGGAATTGGATGAGTTACCACATGTAAGGGTTTAGCCAAGTGCCTGGACTGCCATGTACTCAGTGAACGAGCATTAGTAAATATTACTCAAGAACAAACAATTAATTATGTGCCCTGTTTCCTCGGGACTGTTGTCTTTAGTATTTCCAGTGAGGTTTTGTACAATCTGCTTGAGTTGCAAGCAAAGATCTCGGGATGTCAGCCTCAACTACCTCTAGCTCACCTTCCTGTAAGTAACTTGGACACAGCACACCAATCGGGATCCTGTTTCCACGTGAATAGTGCTGCCAAAATGCTAGATAAACATTCTGACTGAAGAAAAGAGTACCCAGCTTTGGACATGCAAGTGAAAGCACAAAACAGAATGTCACTTTTGCTGCTCTTTTCCAGGACTATAAAATTTTTAAAGATGTTTTGTCTTAAAATAATAAGGTACTATAGACACCCAGCAGGCAACATTGGACAAGGTTAGTGTCCTTGGACAATCAGTGAGTATAATTCAATGGTTAAGAGTCTGGAGTCAGCCTGCCTGGGTTTGATTCAAAGCTCTGTTGTGTGACCTTGGACAAATCACTTAACCTTTCTGAGCCTCAAGTTCTCATCAGCAGTACAGTGACACAGACAGTTCCTACACCTCATAGTTATCAGGGACATAAACCAAATTAACCCATAAAGGAGTTAATTTGGCACCTAGTTAAGGCTCAATAAACGTTAGCTAATGTTAGAAGAGAGGCTCTGGAGGCTCTTCTCCCACATAAACTCTTGACTCTAAAGTCACACACAGTCTCTGAATGCTCAACAGGGGTCCCTGGACTGCCCCTATTAGGGTCACCAAGAGCAGCACTGTCCAATAGAAAGAGTGCCAGCTACAAGAGTACTCTAAAATTTTCTAGTAGCTGCATTACAAAAAGCTTGGTTAACAGATAAAGTTAACTATTAGTAATATATTTATTTGACATGCTACACACCAAGTATTAGCTTTTCACCAATCAGTATACAAATTCATTAATAAAACATCTACACCTCCCCATACCAAGTCTTTGAAACACCTCAATTTGAACTAGGTATATTTCAAGTACTCAACAGCCACGTGTGGCCAATGGCTACCTTATTGTTCAATTGGCCCAGAATGCAGATTCCTGGACCCCACCGTCGTCCTAAACATCTGCCCTAATGTACTTTGTGAAAACAAGCACCACCGGTTATTCTTAAAACACTAAAAAATTAAGAACCACAGAGTAAGTGAACGCTTTGCTGGGCGTGGCCTGAGTACTAGAAAGCAAAGGTTGAGGTTCTCTGTTTACACAAGTTCAGGTAACAGCACAGGACCTTGATTACCTCCCCCATCCTCCGGAAAGGTGCGCGTCCAACAGCCAGAGAGAGGAGAGAACAATTAGTTAAATCTCGAGTAGATGGCGTTTCAGCTCACATCTTCAGAGCACCTTCCCCATTTAAAAGTACATTTTAGGCACAATTCATACGAAATAACAAAGAGAAAAAGCCATGCCTCTCCTCCATCGATTTTAACCTTCCCGTATCCTCCCTTCTGGGGTTACCCGTCAAACTGAGCTCCAAGACGTTAGGGGCCTATCCCCAAGGACTAGCACCGAGAACGGCACACAGGAACCTGGCAAACGTTCGTGGAGTCGATGTTTGAATTAACGGCTTCGAAGGGAGGGTCAGTCGGTCACCCAGGGCATCCCACAAAGCAACTCCGCACCCACCGGCACCGGCCCCACACGCGATCTCGCCGCCCACCGTCCGCGTTCACTCACAACTCCCCAGTCCAGGCGCCGGGCCGCGAACACTTCCAGGGTAGGGCCCGGCGTTGCGGGCCTGGGTCTCCAGCCCGGCGAGAAGGCCCCGAGGGCGGAGGCCGAGTTCCCGGCTGCTCCGAATTCCGGGGGCCTCACTGGGCCCGCCGCAGAGCGGACGAAGCGAGGGCGCCCTTCCGCCCGCCGCGGCCCCGACCACTTCCGGGCCGCGGCCTCGGCGCCTCCCACTCAGCCCGCCCCGGGCCACACTCTTTATTCTCAAACCCTGTGCCGCGCCGCTAGGCCGCCGTTGTCACCGCGTGGCCGGGGAGCAGGCCGGCTCCACGATGCGCCCCGCCGAGCCTGGCGGGCGGCCCCTGAAGCTTGGATGGGGTCGGATTCCCCCTACTTACATCTTCCCGCCGCCACGACCTCCGCTCGCTCTCCTCAGCTTCTGAGGCGGGCGCCGCTCTGGCGTCAGGATTAGGGAGCGGGAAGGCACCCTCGTCCGGCGCGCAGCGATGACGTAGACCGCCTCAGCCAATGACTGCGAGCGAGGAGAGGGTTAAAGGGCCAAGGCCTTTTTGGGGAGAGACGCGTCGGGGCGCTTATACTCTGTCTCCCTCTCTGGAGGGGCGACTGGGGCTGCCCCGGGCTAGCTGCACCCCTCATGGGGTCGGCAAGCTGGCAGCTCTCTGGGGCAGGGAGGACTTTTGTGTGGGCAGCTCGCGGGCCGGCGCGGAGCGGGTTAAGGGGGCCGCGGCCCCGCCCCTACCCGTGCGCGTGCGCACCGGGCTCGCGGCGTGCCTCCCGGCAGGCCAAGGCGCTTGGCTCCAGAGCCCGCAGCTTCGCGCTGGGAGAGGCCGGGCGGCGGGGTTAGGGGAGGGGTGTGCAGGTGCTGCGGCCTTTGGCGGCAGGCCGTGGGGACCCGCATGGCAGAGGCGGCTCAGCGGGCCGGGCCCATTGCGGGGATGGGTTCTTGCGATTACCACTAGTGGTGTGAGGGGTTACCGTGTAGACTCAGCTTCTGCGCCAGCGGAATTCGGCCTGGTGGGCAAGACGGGGTTGTGCAGCCAGAACGCACGGGCAGCAAACTGCAGGGTAGAAGATAATGTGCAGAAAGGGAGGCGCTTCCGAGGAGGTGTCACTGCAGCTGAGACCCGAGTGGAAGGGCGCGCCCGGCAGAGGGAACAGCTGGTGCGAATGCGCGGAGGCTCGCTGGAAGAAGCCGCGGCTAGGAAGGTGGAGTTTAGCGTTGGACAGAACGGGGAAGATGTGCAATATACAGCGCCATGGCGTCATCCCCTGGCCGGTGGTCGGTGCAGGCGGGGAGGCACTGTCAGAGCCTTCTGGCGAAGGCAGGAGGGTGAGGGTTAGAGGCCCAGGACCAGGCAGGAGGCTGTCGGAGTAAAACCGGCGCTGAGGGCATCAGGGCTTGCAGGTTTGTTTACCGCTGTGTCCCTCTTTCTCCCGCGCTGTGCCTGGTAAGCAGTCAAAACTGCGTGACTGTTAGTTGGGGGCAGGGAAGGCGCACCCCCGTCCCAGACGCCGTGTGAACAGGTGGGTGTCCCAAGGAAGAGAGGGGAACAGATCCAAGGTGCTGATTTGGTGGGGGGAGGAACCAATGAGGCTTGGAGATGGATGAAATGTCAGGGGAAAGGACAGGAGAGTCCAGGATGAGCCTTAGTGGCCCTGATGGATGGGTATACCTATGTTTGTAGTCTGCAGGTCATTGCTTTCTGCTCCATGTGGTTTTCCCAGCCAGTGGATAGTGACTCCTTTCCTTCATCCAGTTCCTCTGGCCCTGTCCAGGGTGTCAAGTGTGCCCCTAACACCTCACCCTGGGCCGAGGAGTGTCTGAGAAGTTGGGGACAAAAGAGAGTCCTGGAGGAGCAGCCTGCCTTTTGCATCCTCTCTGCCTAGGCACCAACACACTCCTGGAGGTGGGGGTTGGCAGGCAGAGTCAGTCTGGGTCTGGTTCTCCCTTTGCATTTAGATTTGGGGAGGAGGGGGCCTTTATCTCTGCATCACTGTCACATCTGCCATGGCCACTAATGGAGGCATAAGTGGAACAGAAGGGTATCCCTGGCCGTGCATCAGTGAAGAGACCCAGAGGGTCGGTGTTGGGGATGGTGTGGCCTTGATGAGCCAGGCCTGCAGCACACGGAAGTCTGTGAGGAGGCCACGGCAGCACATTGGAGCCCCACATATTCAGGGCCACGTCAGTGTGTGCCCGAAAGGCCCCAAATCCAGAGCCTTTGCCCAGGGACACAGTGACACTCTAGGTGGGGATGGGGCAAGCCCATGATCCCCACTGTGGCAAAAGGAGGATGGGGACACAGCCAGCTGGGCGGATAGCCCCTTCTGGTTTCGGTTTTTTGGCTGCTGCCACACAGCATGCAGGATCCTTAGTGCCCTGACCAGGAATCGAACCCATGCCCCCTGCAGTGGAAGCATGGAGTCTTAAACACTGGACCACCAGGGAAGTCCCCCCTTCAGTTTTTTTGTTGTTGTTAACGCTCTAAAGTAGTAGAATTTGGCACGCATATAAATTTTAACACATTTCGTATTAAATTTAAAAGCATGATTTATTCATTTATGAATTTAATCAAATTTGTTTCTAAATATTATTGATTTTATTATCAAGTGTGCTATCAGCTGTTGAGCTTTAATATTTGAGCATCTTGGCTTTTGCCATTTTGAGAATCAGCAGAATGTGTTTGGAAGGAACATGAGAAAATAAAACCCTGGAGGGCCCCCGACCCCAGCCTTCCAGGAGTCCTGGGTTTCTCCCCTCCCAACCCCCAATGCTAACCTGCTGAAGCCATGGGAATTGAGGGCCAGGGAGCTGTGGTCTTCGGGGACCTCAGGAGGTCTTTGGCCCAGGTTTGATGGAGGGGGTGGGGCAGGGCTCCTTGGGACAGGGCACTGGGCAAACAAGCCCCAGGCCTGGAGCTTTACACCACAAGCATCCTGTGGGCTCTGGCCAGTGTCTTGAGCCCCCCTCCCTTTCCCCCAGGGCCGAGGGCCACCTGCTGACAATGTGGGGCTGCACTCAGTTTGAGAATATACCCACATCAAGGCAGAATATCCCCCTGCCTTTATTCTCTATTGGCCTGGAGGCCTCCGCAGTGCCTGCCCTTGGAGGCTAGTAACCTGGCACACTGAAAGGGCCAGGGATGGCCTGGGTTGTGTTGGAGGTCACAGTGGGCCACACAGGAGCTTTGAGCAGGCATTGCATCCACTTGCAAACCATGTCAAGGAAGCACTTCTACCCATTGCTGACAGGCTCTGTGCCAAGGGCAGGCATGGTCTGGCCAAGTGGAAGAAAGGGGTTTGGGTGGGGTCAAGGCAGTTGTGATGTCTAGGTGACCCTGGAGGAGGCATCAGAAGAGGGGCGGGTCAAGAGGCCTGGCTTCTGTCTGTGGGGGTGAATGCCTGCAGCCCCTGAAGGAGCCCAGAAGGAGGCACCCAGGAGGAGGCACTGGCCTGTCCTTCTGGTTGGTCAGGCTGGATATGAAAGGGCCAGCCAGCCAATGAGGGTCTGGAGTTGTGGTGAGGCCTCCCTGGCTCTCCGTCTCCAAGGTGTGGGGGCGTCAGATCCTGGGGCCCCATGGGCGGAACAGGCTGCCCGCTGGAGGGGCTACAGGGCCTAGGGCTGCTGAGCGGTGGGCTTGGGAGCTTGTGCTGGTTTTCATGCCCTAAACCGCATGTCCATTTCTGCCCTAAGGAGGTCAAGGGTAGTGATATCTGAGCTGCCCACCCTGGGGCTGTCACAGGGGACAGGGAGGGGCCCGGCCAGAGAAGGGGAGCAGGTGTGCTGGGCTCTGGGTGAGCTGCTCAGGCCTGCCCCATGCCTACTCTGGGCTCTGCAGCCAGTGGATTTGGGGCTTCTCCGACCTTGGAGGCATCTAATGCTGGCATCTTTGGGGTGTGGGCCGGGCCCCAGGAGTGGGGCCTGGGCAGCCCTGTGTGTTGAAGAAGGAAGGCAGGGCCCCCGCTCCCTGGGCCCGACCCCCAGCTTCAGCCCCTCTTCCAGCCTGCTTGAAGCCCAGGCCACGTGTGCCCATCATGTGTGGATGAGACTCCAGGGCCCAGTGCTGTGCTGCCTCCTGGCTGTCTCTCCTGGGGGGCCTGTGGGGACCTGGACTGCCGTCTTGGTGCCCTTTCTCAAGCAGTCTCCAGGCCCACCTTTACCCTGAAACCCCCTTAGGGTGCCCTGCCCTCCAGTGGGGATGGGAGAGGGGCTGCAGGAGCTTGCACATTCCAGGGTTTGGGGTCAGACCTGAGCTAAGGTTCAGGGAATGGGGCCTTGTGTCTGGAGGGGTGATGTTGCACACTCGGCCTGCTGGCCTCAGCTGTGGGCTTGGGTGAGCAGCCTAACCCTGACTTTGGTGTTGGAGGTACCTCATGGAACCCCTGTGGGTCTTTTCCTTGATGGAGTGGGTGTTTAGCCCCTCTGGACCCAGGTGGGCCCAGGCTGTCTACCCAGGAGTGTCCCTGTCTGCAGGTATGGCTCTGGCTCTTAGCACGGCCAGCAGGGTCTGGATGAGCATGGGTGGTGCTCACCTTCACACTGACAGATCTGTGTGGGAGTGAGGGTCCTACAGGGCCTTGCTAGCTTATGCCGTGAGCATTGCACTGGTCCCCGGAGGTGAGCTGAACAGCAGCTGGCGCAGGTGTCACTCAGATGGAGCAGCAGGAATCGGCTGTCCTGGCTGGCAGTCTAGCCCCGGGCTAGCCTTTTGGAAACCTTTCCCCCTCATTCCCAGGCTCTGGCCCCACAGGTGTCAAGTCTGACTCCCCTGGGGCATGGGCCGTCACCGCCTCTGTGTTCAAGGAATGCCCTGAGTTCAAGCCGGGCTGGGGGTGTGTGAGTCCAGGCCAGGCAGACAGGGCCAGCTCCTCCTCCACCTGGTGGGTGTGGTCATCCCCAGACGGTTTGTGGC